GTGTGAAGCCTGTACCAGCACCCTACTGCTGGGGCCTCAAAGGTCAATTAATGCAGTCTAGCCAGTGCCAGAGTCCCCTCTTCCACATCCATGGAAAGATGGGACCAGACCTGCCACATGGAGCTTCTTTGCCCTACTCAATTCCTCTGCCATGTGCCAACCCTTCTGAGGTTAGAAGCCTTCTCTTTGGATCTCTCCTCAGATCCTTGTAACTTGTCTCAGCTTTAGCTTTGAGCTGCCCCAGCCCACACCACCCTGAATCCCCCGGATGTGCCCTCAAAGTGTGCTGCCACTGCAGATTGCCCTGCCCCACTCCCATGGGGACAGGAATGTGCTAAGGCTGCTGTTTAAAAGTAGTCCAGGACCAGCAGCAGCAGCAGCAAGTGAGTGACTAGTACTGGGTGAGTGGCAAAGGGTGTCAGCTTGGGGGTAGACACAGGCTGGCTCACCCAGAAGGCATATGCAGATCTCACATGGTGGCTGGAGTCCCTTCCCGTGTTCTCTCTGCTGGTATTTGGCTGTGACTGTCATTTTAAGCTTCCTCCCACTCCCTTAGCTGACTCATACTTCAAACCAGGGCATCCTCCTAGAGGCCCGACTGAGTCATTCTTCTCTGTTAAGTAATAGTTTAAAGGAGGATTGGAAATGCAGGATTGAATGCTGCCTTCAGCCAGACCAGGTCCGCTTGGAGTATAACCTGCGGCGACCCACTCTCCACTGGGTGTGACCAACCCTTCTCCTGCTCTTGCCTGGCAGCTCTTCTAAGCCCTGAGCCTTGGCCCTGCCCATTTGCCAAAGCTGCAGTGCAGCTGAGTGTCTGCACAGAGAGACAGGCTGAGTTGTTGCCAGCCCAGGACCTGGCCAGTCAGTCCCACAGGAACTCTTTGACCTGCTGTGCGCTCATCTTCTCACTTCCCTTCTCTCCCTCCCCACTGGGCCCAGCCTGGACCCACACACACACTTCTGCTTCATTTGTGTCAGGTGAGGAGTCATTTCTGCTGACAGGGAGGGGCAGGTGAGAATTCTGAAGCAGGCATGGCCTCCCGGCCCCCATCACACTATCTTACCTGGCTTCTTGCCCCACTTTTTAGCATCTGCCCTTCCAGATCCCATACTTTGGAAAATAAATATAACCACCCTGAAAAATAATGGGACTTATAATCTTTATTGTCTGTGAAAAGAGGTTTTCTAGGGAGCGCAAGCCTTTGTTGTCTCCCAAGAACACTCTCACAACTCACATCACTCACAACACCACCCCGCTAAATCCTAACAGGTCCAGACCTGCTCGTCTGGGACGTGTACCCACAGTTCAGCACTCTTGTTTTTCAAGGTTTCTGAAGGTATTAGTCCTGTCTCCCCAAGTAAGCTGTCCGTGCCTGCAGGGTGGGGCCAGACCTCATACCTCTCTGTATTTTCCCCAAAGAGCCTGCTGATGCTGGGATCGTAGAGGCTTCCATAGATAGCCATCCAGCCACCTGTCCCTCTGTCTGTCCATCCATCCCTCCCTCCACCCAGGCCATGTGGTGCACACCTACTATGTGGTATGCACCAGCACTGGGTAGGTCTGAGGATACAGACAAGTGACTATCTTCCTGGGACCTTTGTGGTGGGGGATTGATCTGTAAGCCCTAAGAAATTATTTTTATTGATGCATAATGCCTAGCAATTACAGAGCACTTGCAGTTTACAAAACGCCATTATAGCCCAGTGGATTCCTAAGTTGAGAACAGCTAGTTAATGGCAAGGTGGGTCTGGAACCCAGATCTGTCCACCTCTGTTCCTTGGCTCCCCTAGCATTGCAGCCCTGCTTCTGGAGAAGCATTATGATTTAGAGCAAGAGGAAGAATTTCCCGCTCCAGGGGCAAAGACTCTTTGGCTGACATAGCTCTATCCCAGAAGGTATCCTGGGATACTCTGGGTGCCCACAGAACACAGCCTACCTGAAAAGCTCTAGTTTGTAGCCATCCCTTCAGGATCCAGAGAGCAGCACTGCCCTCTTCTGACTGAGCCGGCAGCTGAGTCCTGCCTGGGTCCCCGAGCCGGGCCCCAGCTCCCCGGGCAGGCACGGAAGTCCTTTCTTGCTGTAGGGTGGGGTTTTCTGGACTAGATCTAAACCTTGCAGCTGTCAGATTCTAGTCCTCATCCCTGCACCCCTTGACTCCGCTCCACCACCCAAACTCCCTGATAGATCCCTGGGCTGCTGGAACCGAGACAGAAAGACTGAGAAAGACTTCCAGGGCACTTACCTTCGTGGCGGTACAGAACTTGGCCTGGGAGGGCAGGCAGGGGATCTCTCCCAGTCTGGAGATCTCTTCTTAGAGAAACAGTCTTGGCTGAGTCACGGAAAAAAGACTTTGGAGCAAAAAAAGAGTTTGCTGAGGCCAGGTTACTTCCCTCTGAGTTTTCCTCTCCCTCTCCTGCTTGGGAAAGTTGCAAAAGAGGCTGGGCCGGTGACCTCAGCTGTGTGGGTGGAGGGGTGGAGTAGAAGGGGAAAGCTGGGTTCAGAGCCGGCTGGAGTTGGAGCACCTTGAGAATTCAGTTTGCAGGGACTCTTGCCTGTGGGGGTGAAGGTGGGGCTGGGGGGCCCTGCAGGGTAACAGGCCAAATTGGTGGGCCCCATAAAGAGCCTCTAGCTGCTTCAGGAACTTCTCCCTGCACTGCTAGTAGCCACCTGGTAAAGGGGCCCTTCTGTTTGTTGAAGTTTTATTTTTTTTTTTTATTAAGTCAAATACACATAGATCATGAATACATTCATGCATATGTGGGGTACAATGTGCTGATTTTTTTTTTTTATACAATCTGACGTGGTTACATCAAACCAATCATCATAGCTTTCACTTCATTTACTTGATTATTGTGCCAAAACATCTATGTTCTACGCTTCACAGATTTGACTTGTACCCTGGTCATATGCTCCATAGGTGTGATCCCGCCTTTTACCCTCCCTCTGTCAAACCTCCCCCCGCCCTTCCCTTCCCACTCCACTTCTCTCCTTCCTCCTGGGCTATAGTTGTGTTGAAGTTTTAGATGAGCAGCGTATGTAATAGATTCGCACCCACCACTGGCCTGATAGGAAAAGGCTCTGGTCCTCACACCTTCCTTCCCCCTGGTACTCTGCATATGCACACCCTTCCTCCCGCCACGGTGCGCGCGCGTGCACACACACAAACACCACCCCAGGCTTGTGAGATGTGAGACCAGTCATGACATGTCCCTGGGCCTCTCGGGTGAGGATGTGTAACCCATCCTGAAATACCCAGGAGACAGCAGCAATTTAAAACGCTGTTAGCATGAGACTAATTTTGTTATCGCTTTGGAGCCAGGCCTTGAATAACCGTGGTTGGCAGATGAAAGGGGAATGAAGGGAGTTGAGACATGCCCAAGATAAGTGGATCACCAGACTTCGAGGGATCCCCTCAAGGCCGTAACGCGTCTGATGAGCCCCTCCATCCTCACATTCCTTCTGAGATGCGATTTTGCCTCCTTGGCAGCCTATTCCTTTGTTTAATAATCCTCGCTGTCAAAAAATTCTTCCTTTTATCCAAAAAGTCACTGAGGCTGCATCACTGCTACCGTCTGTGTCTAATCTGGTCAGTTAGACTATACATTCTTAAAGGGCAGAATGGGTACCCTTGGATCTCTCTCGGCCCCTCTCAGTGCTAGACAAAGGCCTTGCTAACGAGTTTGGCAGAACAAAAATTGAAGTTCATTTCCTTGTTTCAGTTAGCAAACACGCCTGGAGGGAGGACTCAAAGATTTCCAAGGAGTGTAATATTAGACAGCGGACCCTGAAGTTGGGAACATTCTAGAGCGTGTTCACCCCCAGTGTTCTATCTTGGAAGAGTGTGCGTCAGTCCATCCTCAGGCCGCACAGTCACGTATGCTCCTGACTTGTTCCTAAACTGTCACCCCCTCGGAGTTGTCCTCCTGCATTCTTCCACTTTTTTCTGAGACTAGATTTTATTATCAATGGACATTGTTTGTGTGTGTGTGTGTGAGAGAGAGAGAGAGGGAGAGAGAGAGAGAAGGAGAGAGAGAGAGAGAAGGAGAGAGAGAGAGAGAGCTGCGCCTGTGGAGATGTAGAGACACATTCGAGCCTCCTTCAGAGAATAAGGGAAAGTTCTGGGGCCGGCTGCTGCCAAGGGGGCTTTGGGATAGGGGAAGTGAACCGTCCTCAGCTAGTCCTTGCAGCACCTGAACACAGTACTGAAAGTGGTACTTTCGGGGGCCATTTGCAGAACTATCCCTAACACCTTTAAGGTGGATTCTCCAGACACCCTCTCGCCCCACTTCCTCCAGCCACGTGGATCGAAAGTCAGCAACTTCCCTTTTCTTCCTCTGACACAGGCTCCAATGGAGAATGACAGTGGTCTCTCCCTTGCTGTGAGACCGGTCTCTCCCTGGCTCTCCCCTTCTCTCCCCTTTGAGTTTTCTCCTTCCTGTCCCCCTGCATGCATTCATTCAATAATCTGAGTATGTCAGACCCTTTGGGGGACATCAAAGTTGATATGTGCATGTGTCAAAGGAAATGAGATGTGGTGCAAATCATGGTATAAGAAACACAGCGAAAGGGCTGTGGGGATCTAGAGAAGGGCGAGATTAATTCCAGCTAGGGGGCATCAAAGAGGTCTTCATGGAAAGAAGGAATTTGAATGGGAGCTTGAAGGATGCAGAGGATAGGGTATGCAGAGGTGTGGTAAGTGAAGGCCCCAGCCGGATTCCAAATAAGGAGAAGTGATCTGGGGATGGGGAGAAGAAAGAGTGCGTAGGAAGGACTCCAAGCCGTAGGTGGGTGCCTTTGGAGTGTGTCCCACAGGCTGAGATTTCAGTTGCCACAACCTTAACATGCATTGCAGAGGAGCCACGTTGGGGTAAAGTGGGCATGCTCCTCTGGTGAGCAGAGGAGAAGGAGTCCTTGGAGCAAAGTGTGCAAGTTGGAAAATGCAGATGCTTCATTTGGTGTGGGTAGACTTGATGTCCAAGGAGGACACGGGTCAGACTGAGGCTAGCCCCTCGAGTACCCTGACAACACACAGCACCAGACAGCACATTCAGCACACCAGGGGCAGGCCTCGCATAGAAGTGAGCAGTAGGGAGCAAGCTGAAGAGGTGCTAGCTAACAATGGCTCTTGAGGTGCCCTGTCTTGGAGGAAGAGTCATAAAGCCCTTTAGCCTCGGGATATCTGTATTTTATGAGCGTTGCCTGTGCTAAAGTCAAGGTCTGTTCCCTGATGAGCCCAGGCATATAAGCTGCTTACACACGTGCAATATGCCATTGAATCCTCACTGTAACTCCACAAAGTACAATCGTTCCTTGTATGTACAGATTAGTTCCAGGACCTTCACATACTCCAAAACCTGAGCATGTTCATGTCTAGCCCTGCAGAACCTGCATAAAGCCCTCCACATATGCGAGTTTTGCATCCCACAGATAGTGCTTCCAATTTACCTTTGATTGGAAAAAACCCACATACACCTGGACCTGCACAGCTCAATCCCATGTTGTTTAAGGGCCACCTGTAGTTAACTATGTAACGCCCATTTGACAGATGAGCAAAATGAGGTGCAGAGGTCCCACTGCTGGTTCTAGGAGTCAGGTCCAGGGCTGATTCCAGAGCTTGTGTTTTTATCTGCTCTACTGTGTTGCTTTGATAGCTTGTTTCAATTAGAATGCTCTGAATCAACGGTGAAGGCAGTAATTTGGTTAAAAAGGCAAAAACAAGAGTTAAAAGAAAACCAAACAAAATAATTTTGTGTGTATGTTGTACGTGTGTTAGCTATGACCTACTCTGAGCATGACACCCACAGGAGAACGGGTGCTAAAACATTCTGAGCCAAGTGCTTCCACCTGCTAAGCTCATCGATTCTCCCCAGTAGCTCAGAGATGAGTGTCTCAGAGACATGAAGTTATTACCCAAGGTCACCAAATTGATGATGGGCAGAGCACAGATGTAAATCTAGGCTATCTGACTTTCAGATTAGTGGGGGTTTTATTTTGTTTTGTTTTTTGAGACAGAATCTTACTCTCTTTGCCCAGGCTAGCGTGCCTGGCGTCAGCCTAGCTCACAGCAATCTCAACTTCTTGAGGTTCAAGTGATCTTCCTGCTTCAACCTCCCATGTAGGTGGGATGACTGATTTTTCTATTTTTAGTAGAGACAAGGTCTCTTGCTCAAGCTGGTTTTGAACTCCTGAACTCAGTGATCCTCTCACCTCAGCCTCCCAGAATGCTAGGCTTAGAGGTATGAGTGGCTGCACCTGGCCAGGCTGGTGTGTTTTTACAACACCTGTTGCCAAAACGTGACAGCCAGGTCCTGTCCCAATATCTTACAAGTCTTAAGAGTGCCTCACTCGGCTGGCATAAAATAAATATTTATGGCGTTGGATTGAATGAAACCCCAAGTGAATCTGATGTTCATTAAGAAAGGATTTGATAAATAAACGGACACCTTGCAGATGTTAGAAGAACATCTGCACAGACAGAGAATCTACTATCATATGGAAAAAGCAGCTTAGAGAGGAAACTGTAGAGTAAGATTTTTTTTTTTTTTTTGTAGAAAGAAAAAGATTTCCTTACCAATAGCCATCTCTATCTGTTTACATGTGCAAAGAAAAATGTCTGTATAAAATAACTTCAAAATGATAATAGTTCTTTTCCCTGAGGGGGAGGATTAGGGAGCAATCTCACGTGTTTTATAAGAAAAAAGCTGAAGATACTTCCATTTCGAATGAAGCAAAAGCTAAAGGAAGGGAGAGAAGAGTAAATTGTCCCTGGTTGCAATAGATACCATCAGAATGGGGATTCACTTCAGACCGGGCTATTCCGTGTCAGACCCCTCAAGATGGGTCCTCTGATCCCAAAGGTGTCCCCAGCCACCTTGTTCTCTCTTTCTCTCCTCTTCCCTTATGTACTATGAAATTTTTTTGCTTATAATAAATATGTGCCCACACTACAGGGAACCAGGGCTCCTGGAGACAATGGCTGATGCCCCACATGGGGCCAGCAGTGTGTAAGATGGGCTGGAAAAGTTCACAGGAACTAACTTGAAGGCCACCGAGGCGAAAGACGGGGTAATTGAGCATTTAAAAAAACTACAGTGAATTGAAACGGACGAACACGTTTAAAATCCACTGGGATTTTTTATAGCACCAACTCATTCTGAAAACTGGTAAGTAAAGGGAAATAAAACCCCAAGTGGTTTTCCTCTTTCCTAAGCAAATAGTTAATGAGGAAAGGTTATGCTTATAGAATTCCAACTAACAGATACAGAATTAGAAACAGAATGAGAAAAACCCCTGGTCTGTAGCCCCTAATGCTAGGGTGGGTCTCACTAAGGATCACCTGTGGCTGCCGAATTCGTTAGGTAAAATGCTGAAGGGAACTTGGTAACAGGTGATTAAGGCTGACAATTCCAAACCCGCTCAGCAGTCTTAACATTAGTGATAGAGGGGCACCAGGCATTATCTGCCCCCAAAGGACACAGTGGGAAGTATCCAGCACCATCTATAAAGTGCTTTCATCATAAAACAAGACCTCTAAATCTAAGTAACGTTTTATAGGAAAGATGGGCTCAGAGAACCATGTTGGATGACACCTCTGGATTTCAACCAGCAAAATTTCAAATGTGATAAACTCAATAGATGAAAAGAGTTAAGAGACATTTTAAATAAATGCAACTCACGGATGTTGTTTACAACCACTTGGGATATAACAAACAAACCAACCCAGCCACACGTGTGAGACAATGAGATACATTTGAATTTTTATAGCATATTAAAGGATATTTGGAGTATTTAGGGACAAAATGATGTGATGCCTGAAATTTGCATCAAAATAATCCAGTTACAGTATGTGGAGCTGGGGAGAGGAGCAGGTGACAGTGTAGATTAAACAGGTCTGGCTGTAAGTAGATAGGTCAGCAACGCAGGTGGGGGCCCATAGCCCTTTCTTGTGCATGTTTGGAGATTTCCGTAATAAAAAGTTAAGAAAAATCAATAAAAAATATGGACATACACCTTATTTTTCCATCATGATGGTGGTACGTCCATGTGAAGTGTGTGTGAGACTGTGAACGTGCATATGTGTGGACGTCAGGGCGAGTGTCAGAGCGCAGCACTGCACTGTGGAAATTAAAGTCGCAACTCTGGGAACAAGAGCATTCTGTGGAAAACAACTTTTTGGCAGGTGTAAAGAATCTCCCGATCCAAGAGCCCCAAGGGGTGTCAGGCAGCAGGTGTAGACACAGGCCTCTACTTAGTGAACTGCACGGGCCAAGCCCACACGGTTATTCCCACGGTCAAAGACTGAGTAAAACTGTCGAATGAAGACATTCCCCAGGATCCAGAGGGGCTCGTCATCTGAGATATCAAATTCTTCAAATCCAGTTCTGCAGAACTTCTTTCCCTGGGATTGAGAAGAAAGAAACATGTAAATGACATACAGGGGGAAGAAGGAAGTAGTGCAGCCTAGAGGCTATCCTGTGTGGTGGTGGTCTTAGACAGCTGTTGGGTGACATACAGGGGGAAGAAGGTAGTAGTGAGGCCTAGGGGCTATCCTGTGTGGTGGTGGTCTTGGACAGCTGTTGGGTGACATACAGGGGGAAGAAGGAAGTAGTGTGGCCTAGAGGCTATCCTGTGTGGTGGTGGTCTTAGACAGCTGTTGGGGCCTATCATTTTGGTAGGTGGGCTCTTCTTCCTGCTTCATATCTCACGACCCCAGTTTGCTCAAGCTCATCCATGTGGGTTTGGGTATCGATGTTCTACAATTTTGAGAACTGTGCATCTCTTACACACTCCCACCTCCACACCCTCCCCCACCATTTTACAACTGAAAACTGAAACTGTATTGCTGGCAGGAAAAGCAAAAGGTTTGGTGCTAGGAGACCTTGGTTTAAATCCTGTTTTTTGTTTGTTTGTTTGTTTGTAGTAATGCTTGTTTTAGTTCTTTTTAAAGGAAAGAAATTACTCTGTAAGTGGCTAGCCGTGGCTATTCTCTTTTTGATGTTCTGAGAAGAAACATTTGAGTAACCTATTTTAAATAAAAGGCAGTAGGCATCCCTTGATCTAGGAGAAGAGGGTAACCTCCCTCAACTTTAACTTGTAGTTTGGCAAAGACCCGTACTCTCCCAGGCAGGTGTGGTTTTTCCAACAACTATTTGAAATTTGAGATTACTGATGAGGGTATGGGAAAATCTGCAGAGGCCTCAGGAGCCTGCTTGAGAGGAAGGGAATAAAAAGTCAAAGTTATTGCTGCATCCTTGATGGAGCGAGGTGGTCTGAAATCTGCTGGAAGAGAAAGACCTAGCGCTACTCTGTATTGGGCACAGGGCAGGTTGTGGGCAGGGACTCAGGGGGAGAAGGTGGAACAGTGTGAGGTGCTGGGGTGGTGAGGGGTGTGCACACTGATGAACAGGGCTCTTTCTAAACATCCGGCTGGTCCTCTGTGTGGTGTGCCCAGGGGCAGCTCTGGAATTCCTACTGTGCGGGAGGTGGGGGACTTACCCTGAAGTGCTATCTGAAAGCAAACATTTTCTTTGGAGTGTCTATTTCTGTTTGGTGGCTAGGTGAAGGAGTTAATGGAGACCAAGGCATGGAGAAGAAGGCTAAAGTCTACACCTTTGTACCTCTATTCTGATGCAGTCACCCCAACGCCAGCCAGGGAGGGGGCCTTTGACAAAATTAGTGTGTTCAAATGTGCTGCCAAAGAACTGTAATATTGAAAATCCAGGCCAACTGTGGTGTGAAGTGCTCATAGGTGTCCAAAATGCCTGGGAGTTCTCTTTCTACCTTACCCTATAAACTTGAGAATTGAAGGCCACAAGACATTTTCTTGCTTGAGGAGAAAAGCTAATTTGAGTATTAAAAGAAGTATGAACTTATTCTCCATCCTTCCCTAAATGGTTCATATCTTGAACCATTTATTTATCTCTCTGAGTCTCAATAGCCTCATCTGCAAAATGGGTCCATAACATCGCCAGTGTGAGTTGTCAGCTGAGAAATGCTACGTGGCAATATTGGAAGGTCTCCTTAAATGGCTTGCCCAAAATGTGCTGCTGTTTTGTGGCACAACTGGAAACTTGAACTAGCCCACTGATCTTTCCACCATGGGAAGCTGTGTCTCTCCCAGAGGGACTGCCACGTCAGAGCAGGATGAGCTGGGAGGGGGTTTGGGGTGGATACAGCCTAAATGCAGGCGGCTGCCTTTAAAAAGGGGAAGCTGCAGGCACATGGGTAGGCCCCGTGACTTACAGAATAAGGAAAGAGTTCTTACCCGCAGAGTGTAGGCAGTTGGTTTGAGGGTGTAGGAGACTCCTTTGATGACGATGGTGACATCTGGCATGACTTTGAGTTTGTTACACCTCACAGTATACTAAAACACAACACGGAGGCTCCGTTTAGAGGCTTCCTATCTCCCAAGAGCAGGCCTGGATCTCCTGTCCCTTCTCCTCCCCACCCTTCCTCACCCCAGGCAGGCACTCACATCTCCATTTTTCCTGCGTACTGCCCTGATGGCCTTTTGCAGTTGCCTGATGTCGTCAGAAGGGCCAGTGATGGAGGAGGTCCCTGTGTCCACAATGGCCTGGCAGCCCTTGGAGCACAACATCACAGAGCGTCCCACACGGATTCTGAGGGCAAAGGGTTGTGGTCAGCCCTTCTCCCGCTCCCAGGCAACTCCTGCTCCCTGTTGGATTCTTTAGTATATGGAACACATTTCCAACCACCTGAGTGTTCCTCAATTTGGGGGGGACTGATATCTTTAGAAGGAATACAGTTACTTCTTGAACCAGTAGATACACACACTGAACCACAGTTGAGGTGCATCAAAGTATTTTCTATTATATTCTGTTTCCTTTAAAAATGTAGATCATGATCTTCTAAGATGTCATGACCCATAAATAGGTAAATCCCTATAGTTTGAAAATCCCCCAGTAGACAGAAAGCATTCAGGCTTTTTATACTTTTGTATTCCTAACATCTGTAGGAACTCAGTCTCGGCTGAACTGAAACTTGAAATACGCTTCCCTGAGTCCCTGCACTGCCTGGTACAGCACTAGTCAGTAGCAGGTATCTGGTCCGCTTCCCCAATTGTTCCAGGCCCAGATACTGTACATGGTTCCAGGTTCAGTTTCAATGCCACCCCCTCCACGAAACCATGAAGGTTCTTTGGATAGAAGCTGTCTTGCCCTGTCTGCTGGGCCATTTTGGTGGCACCTTTCTTGGAGCACTGACCACCTTCCAGTTTACGTGATGGCAATTTGTATGTGTGTCTCATCTTGCGGATAAGCGTCGTGAAGGTAAAATCTGAGTCAGTTCACCTTTGCATTCCCCATGTCCCTCAGCCCTTGTCTTGCGTGTTACTGTTAAAGAACAAAGGGCAGCAGGCTGTATATGGTGTTCGCTGCGTTGGGTTGAAGGCCCACCGCAGTCCAAGGAAGGAGGTTGTACCCCTGTCTCCTTTCTGCACGTTTGCTGAGCACCCCAGACTCCCAACCCACACCACCGGCTCTCTGCATTCTCTTCTGGTGACCAGCAGTCCCACTGAGCTGATTTCCACTGGACTGGTGTCTGTTATGAATTCATCCCTCATCCTGTGACTATGGCATAGAGGATACTCACTTGTCCACCTTAATCTGCCAGTATTCTTGCTTGGAGACCGGGACCCAATTCAGGCGCCCAGTGAAATGGGAGTGGTCATAGCCTCCAAAAATCAGCTCGCTCCCTTTACCACCTTTTTGGTTAGTACTGGAAAGAAAGGCAAGTTGTCAAGGAAGGGCCACTGGAAAGCCCTAGGGTGAACCCCAGCTGGGACCCTTTGCTGCTTGGTCTGGTCACTCACACTGGGTACTGAAGTAGGCAGAAATAGCAGCCTGGGCTTTGAGACCAGGACTTCTGACTACTGCAAGTTGATTAGTCTGGGCCTGTTCGGCACAATGAAACAGTTCCACTCAACAATTTTTGAATGTCCTCCTGCTTCTTGAATGAAAAGGTCGTAAAGATGGGAAATGGGGACAACAGGTCTGGTCATTCAGAACCAAGGCCCAAACCATTCCGGGTACATATAAACCCCCCACCTCCAAAAGATATTTTTTTCCCAAAGTACCTTCGCAACTATGGGTGTGGCAGTGTCTGGAGTTTCTGTGTTATTCAATCCTTTGTGTTAAGGCAAAGAAGCTAATCTGAATTTATAACGACTTACTACAGCTTGAGTATTTATTTTCATTCATATTGATTTCTCAGATTGTGCTCTGGCACTTAGCAGGACTCTGAAGAAACAGGACATAAAACAGGCTCATTATCAGGAGGAAAAGGATTGGAAACACACAAAACTGCAAGGCACTGCAAGGCAGAGGAGTAAAGTCAGGAGGGAACTGAATATTTGCAGGAATTTTAGGAAAGTGGTTTTAGAGAGGGAGCAGGGACAGGAACTAACGTTTGTTGATGACCCCTGAGCCTGGCACTGTGCTAGCCATTTGCCTGCTTAAACCTAGTTAACGTTGAACTATTGTTTCGATGTTCCAAGGAAACTGAGCCTCAGCGAGATGAAGTGATCCAAGTGGTAGGATTTAAATCCAGGCCAGTGTGACTGCAAAGCTCCCGCTGTTCCCTTCACAGCCCACTTCTCCCCGGCCAGGGGCGAAGGACTCTCTGTGAAGGGAAGTAGAGGCGTCCAGACAAACTGCCTCTCTTATGCACAGTTCTGCACAGGCCTGGTCCCAAGAGCAGCCATGCTGGAGGGGACGCACAGTGTGACAGAGGAAACTCAGGACCCCTCCTTGTAGGAGAGGGGCCCCAAGGGAGCAGGACTGTGCCCAAAGAGGGTGAGCGCAGGCCCGTTCTCGCCAGGAAGGAGTCAGAGAGGTCAGAAATCGTATTCCTCTGTAGGAAGATAAGATGCCAGGACTCCGGGCAAGAGTGCCTAGACTCAGGTGAGCCTATGATCTTTTCCAACTACTGTATGCAATTTTTTAAAACAATGGGTTAAAATGGACATGGCCTAATTTACCATCTTACCCATTTTTTGAGTCTACAGTCAATAGTAAGTACGTCCACATTATTCTACAGCCAATTTTCAGAACTTGTTCATTTTGCTGAAGTGAAACACTCTATCCCCATTCAACAAGAACTCCCCTCTGACCTCCTAATCCCCAGGCTCTGGCAATCACCATTTTACTTTCTGTCTATGAATTGTACTTCTCTAGGTACCTCTTATAAGTGGAAACACATAGCGTGTGTCTTTTAGTGACTGGCTTATTTCACGCCTATGTCCTCAAGTTTGATCTGTGTTGTAAGTGTAAGTGTGCATCAGAATTTCCTTCATTTTTAAGGTTGAATGATATTCCATTGTTTGAATATACCATTGTTCTTTTTATCCATTAACATGGAATTATTTTATTGTTAGCTTCATTTTTAATTTTTTCTGCTTCTCCCCAGGCCCCTCACTCACTGTAGCGACTGTCTTTTTTGTTCCATTTTTGTCCCCAGCGTCCAGCATCATGCCTAGCATATGATAGGAGCTTGATATTTGTTGATATTTATTGACACCGTCAACCAAATCCCAGAGATTCCTTACATTAAACCCAGTATGGTAGAGTTTACAGAGTGCTTTTCACAACGACTTTATGAGGCAAATCTCATTTCCTCAATATTCAGAGAGGTTAAGTGTTTTTTTCTAAGATCACCCAGCTGGTCATAGATCAAGCAAGACAGCCAAGCCAAGTCTCTCGACTGTTAAATCCAGCACACCATGTTGTTTTCCTCTAGTTTTAGGGAACAATAACCTGGCAGATGTGACAGGCCTTACCTGCTCATGTAGATGGAAAAAATTGGTTGATCCACCAGTTTCTGAGTTATCATGTTGTCAAACACTGGGGTCATCCCGTCCTCGGCCAAGGAGGGGTATGACAGGCCCATAATGCCATCAAATTGCACATGGGCAAAGACCTTGCCTGGCTCTTTGAGAGCTTCTCCAAACGGCTGGTTAGGCACCGTCAGTCCTCCCACCTGGCAGGAGAAAGCCCACAGGAGAATTGCACAGGGAATTGCTGGCAAAGGGTCTTGCATTCCTCAATTTTCCTCTGAACTGAAGCCAATTCTTCTCCTTTGTGCCCTTGATTAAAGGGACACCAAGATTTTTGCCCTAGTCTCAACAAACAGGATATTTCAAAACCCCAGAAGCCCCTTCCTGCACCCTGCCAATCTTGTACCCCCACTTACGAGTAATGTGTCTCCTGACTTCTAATAGCATATATTGGTTTGGCCTCATTTTTGATTTTCCATGAATACAATTATTTACTATGAACTCTTTCTGTATCTGGCCTCTGTCACCTAACACTATTCTCACTGCTTGCTATTGTACTTTTTGTAATAATGACCTGTTTATTTTCATTAGTATTCCATAATGCAACCATGTCATCATTATTTATCTAGTCTACCTTTGATGGATATTTGTTTCCTTTACTTGACTTTTGCTAATAGCACTACTTGTGTGTGTCTTTGGATGAACACATACACGTGTTTTCTGTTGGATATGTATATGCTTATGAGGCAAACGGCTAGCTCCTAGGACAGGTATCCTGCTTTGGTAAATATTGCCAAAGATTTTTCCAAAGTGATCATACCAATCAACGTGTCCTCTATCAGTATTTTGAGAATTATAATTGCTCCGTATCCTTATTAACACTAGGTATTACCTATCTTTTCCATTGTAATCTTCTAGTGGATATGTAGAGGGTTACATTGTGATTTTAATTTGTATTTCCTGATGATTAATAAAATTGGACATTTGGATATCTTCTTCTGTGAAGTAAGTTTGAATTTTTCTTGTTGATTGGTAGGAGTTCTTTATATAGTGTATTCTGGAATTAATTTGTTGGTTGCTATTATGTGAAATTCTTTTTCCTTTTTTTTTTTTTTTATAGACAAGAGTCTTACTTTATTGCCCTCAGTAGAGTGCTGTGGCATCACAGCTTACAGTAACCTCCAAATGCTGGGTCTAGGCAATTGTCTTGCCTCAGCCTCCCAAGTAGCTGGGACTATAGGTGCCCTCCATAACATCCTGCTATTTTTTGTTGCAATTTGGCCTGGGCCAGGTTTGAACCCACCACCCTTGGTATATGGGGCTGGCGCCCTACCCTCTGAGCCACAGGTGGTGCCAATTTTTATTTTCTTAATGGTGTCTCTTAATGAACAGAATATATGAATTTTAACATTATCAAATTTATAAAAATTTCCCCCTTATTAATGGATTTTGTAACTTCTTTTGGGAAATTTTGTCTATTCTAAGGACATGAAGATATTTTGTCCATGTTTCCTTCTTTTTTTTTTTTTTTTGAGACAGAGTCTTACTTGTTGCCTGCATAGAGTGCCATGGTGTCACAGTTTACAGCAACCTCAAACTCTTGGGCTTAAGCCATTCTCTTGCCTCAGCCTCCCAAATAGCTGGGACTACAGGTCCCCACCACAGCACCTGGCTATTTTTAGGGATGGGGTCTTGCGCTGGCTCAGCCTGATCTCAAACCTATGAGCTCAGGCAATCTACCTGCCTTGGCCTCTCGGAGTACTAGGATTCTAGGCGTGAGCCACCACGCCCGGCCTCCATGTTTCCTTCTAAAAGCTTTATTGTTTACTTTCACAATGAGATCTACAAATCTATCTGAAGTTTGATAATATGTGAAGTAGAAATCAAGATTCTGTTTTTCTGCATGCATTCTACTACTATTTAATAAATACATCATTATTTCCTCCACACTCTGCAATATCATGTTCAATGTAAGTCAGGAGACTGGACAGTTTCTGAATTTTCTGTTCTGTCTCATTTGTCAACTTTTAAAATCGTGTGCCAAAACTACACTGTCTAAATTACTGTAGTTTTATAATAAGTCTTAATATTTGACAGTATTTGTCTTCAACAAGATTGTCTTGATGCATTATATATCTATATAAATGTTACAATTAGCTTATTAATTTCTAACAAAAATTGCTATTGTTTTGTTTGGGGGTAACATTAGATCCATAAATCAATTTGAAAATATTTGACTTTTTAATAAAACTGAGTCATTCACTCCATGAGCATAGTTTGTGTTTCAGTTTATGCAGGTTCTCTTTAATTTCATTCAATAATGATTTGCAAGTTTTGGAGTAGAAGCCTTGCACATTTTTTGTTAAATTTACTTCCAAGCAGTTGATCATTTTGATGGTATTAAAAAAACAGTGATTAAAATATTACAAGTCTATAGTGATCAAAACAGCATGGTATAGGCATAAAAATAGAGACATAGATCTATGGACTAGAATATAGAACCTAGAAATGAAACTAGCCTCATATCACTATCTGATCTTTGACAAATGAACCAAAAGCTTACACTGGGGAAAAGGACCCCTATTTAATAAATGGTGCTGGGAGAAATGTCAAAGATTGAAACTGGATCTGTACTTCTCACTACTTATAAAAATTAACTCACACTGGATAAAAAATTTAAATCAAAGACATAAAACTATAAAAACTCTAGAAGAAAGTGTGGGAAAAACTCTTAATGATATTGGCCTTGGGAAAGAGTTTGAAGAAGACCCCACTGGCAACTGCAGCAACAACAAAAATAAATAAATAAGACCTGATCAAGCTTAACAGCTTCTGTACAGCTGCTAAGAATACAGTTAAAAAAAAAAAAAAAGGCAAAATAGGCAACATTCAGAATGGGAAAAGATATTCACATGTCACAAATCTGACAAAGGGCTAATAACCAGAATCTGCAAAGAACTCAAGCAAATCAACACGAAAAGAATAAACAACGCCATTAATCACTGGACAAGGGACAAATAGAACCTTCTCCCAAGAAGACAGACGAATGGCCAAAAAACACATGAAAAAGTGCTCATCATCTTCTGTCATCACAGAAACGCGAATCAAAACCACCTTGAGATATCACCTAACCCTGGTGATAATAGCCCACCCCACAAAGTCCCAAGGCTGCAGATGCTGACGTGGGTGTGGAGAGAAGGGAACCCTCATACGCTGTTGGTAGAATGCAAACTAATACAGCCCTTATGAAAAGAAGAATGGAGAATTCTCAAAGAGCTAAAAGTAGACCTTCCATTTGATCCCGCAATCCCATTACTAGGTATCTACTCAGAAGAAAAAAAGTCATTTTATCATAAGAACATTTGTGCTTGAATGTTATAGGAGGTCAATTCACAATTGCAAAGATGTGGAAACAACCCAAGTGCCCATCAACCCACAATGGATTAATAATGTGGTCAACAGTATTAAATTTAATAATGCGTGCTAGGCTTCTAGTCCAAAACTTGCAAAACATTATTGAATGAAATTAAAGAAGACCTGCATTAATTAAAAATGTGGGCTATGTGCCATGGCATACCATTCAGCCATAAAAAAGATGGAAACTTTACATCCTTTGTATTTACTTGGATGTAGTTGGAGAATATTCTCCTTAGTAAAGTATTTCAAGAATGGAAAAACAAATACCCCCTATACCGAACACTAATTGAAACTAGTAGGTAAACAAGACCACACAAGAGAAAAACGCAATTAAATTCAAGTAGAGAGGAGGGGGGAAGGGGAGAAGGGCTTAGTAAGCTCCCAGCTAACGGGTACCATGTAGGGGTATATGGCCCACTTCCTGGATGAAGGACTCCACTAACTCAGATGCTACCTAACAAACACAAACAATGTAACCTAATCGTATAAAACTTATATTAATGAGAAATTTAAAAAAGATTTTTAAAAATGTTCTCTCAAAAATAATTTATTTTTCAGCCTGAGTAAGAGTGAGACCCCATCTCTAAAAATAGCCAGGTGTTGTGGTGGGCACCTGTAATCCCAGCTAAATAGGAGGATGGGGCAAGAGGATCACTTGAGCCGAAGAGTTTGAAGTTGCCATGAGCTGTGATGCCATAGCACTCATGATACTCAAGGGTATCAAAGAGAGACTCTGTTTCAAAGAATTTTTTTTTCATTTGTTTTTTCTGCTGTATTCTGAGCATCCCAAATCTGAAAATCTACAATCTGAACTGCTCCACAATCCAAAGCTTTTTGAGTGCCAACATGATGCTCAATGGAAATGCTCACTAGAGTGTTTCAGATTTGAGATGTTTAATCCAAAAGTATAATGCAAATATTCCAAAATCTAAAAAAAATTCAATCTGAAACACTTCTGGCCCCAAGCATTTCAGATAAGGGATACTCAACCTATATGTAGAAATTCAAATGGTTTTTAA